CCAAAGGAATACTGACAATGGATTGCCGTAGATGAGGAACAGCTGACCCTCCTGGAACAGGGACCTCTGGCTGACTAGATTTACCAGAAGGGCAGACAGGGGGGAATGGATGAGGGTGCTGACAACACAGTGGACAGTGACAGGGATGGCAGAGTATGGAGCCTCTAGTGGGAGAGGAAGGCTGTCTATCTGACGAGTTAGTATTCATGCTCAGATGCCGAGGAGCTCAGAAGGTGGGCGACTGTGACCAGTGATAGTCATGTATATAGAGATTAGAAATGCATGTGAAAATGTCTCAATGTCAATTGCTTTGGAATGAATTTTTCTGTATGAAAAAAAAAAATAAAAAAATAATGATTAAAAAACAAAAAAAAAAGGAAAACAGCTTCAACAAAAGACATTATGTTTGACCTTCCAACCTACACAGTGATACAACAAAGTGAAATATTCCTTGTCAAGTCACCCTAGTCAGAAGATAGCCTTTGTAACCTTGCACTACCACATTGTCTAGATTCATTATAAAATCTAGACTTGTAAAGCTTGACTGTCTTGAAAAACCCATTTACCTCTTGAGTATGGGCTTTTTCTCTGTAATAAAACTTTCTCCCAATTCCTTCATTTCCTTTTGTGATGGTTAGGTTTTTTCTCAACTTGACACAAATTTAGAGTCACCTGGAAAGAAGGAACGTCAATTGAGGAATTTCCTTCATTGGATTGTCCTGTGACAGTGTCTATGAGGCATTTTCTGAATTGCTAATTGATGTAGGAAGACCCAACCCACTGCAGGCAATGCCATCCCTGGACAGATGCACCTGGGCTATATAAGAAGGGTATCTGACCAAGCTAGGAGAAGCAATCCAGTAATCACAATTCCTCAATGGTCTCTGCTTCAGCTCCTGCCTCCAGGTTTCTGCCCTGAGTCCCTGCCCTGACTTCTCTCAAAGATGGACTGTGTCTTAGAATTATATGAAATAAACCCTTTCCTCCTGAAGTTAGTTTTGGTCAGTGTTTTATCACAACAATAAAAAGTAGCTAGGTCACCTTTGTTTTCTTCTTTCTGAGAGTGAAAAAAAAAAAAAACTTGTTCTAATTTGTTTCTCCATTGCTGTGACAAAATATTCCAACCGATACCAAGTTGGGGAGGAAAGGGTTTATTTGGCTTAGATTTCCTGGGTCATAGTTCATCACTGAGGGAGCCCAAGATAGGAACTCAGAGCAGGGACATGGAAGAACACTGATTACTGGCTTGCTCCCCTAGTCCATGCTCAGCCTTTCTTATACAACACAGGACCACCTGCCCAGGAGTGGCACTGCCCACAGTGGGTTGGACCCTCCCACATCATTCAACAATCAAGAAAATGCCCCACAGACATAGCCACAGACCAGTCCAATGGAGGAAATTCCCCAAATGAGGCTCCCAGGTATATCAAGTGGACAACTAAAGTTATCTAGCACAAACCTGGAAACACTAGCTAAATCAATCTCTCCCCTCTCCCCTCTCCCTCTCCCTCTCTCCCTCTATCTTTCTCATAGTCTTCACCACTGACAGTACCTTCTTCTAAATTTGACTTATGGCTCCAGACCTTAGAAGCCAGAGACTTATGGCTCTGGGTGCACAGGTTAAACAGGTTAGAGGCTTACTATTCTGGATTCCAATTGCCAGCTAGCCACCTGGTACCATATTTTGTGAAATCCTGAGCTTTAAGTAACAACTATCAATAGCAGTAGTTAGGGTCAGCTAGGCTCAGGTATTGGGACCCTCAGCTCCCTACAGTGACTAGGAAATTAGTACAAAGCTCAGGCAGGCCCACGGTATCAGAACTCTCAGCCTAGGGCTCGGCAGCTCCAGTGACCAGGGCCCTGCAATGTGCCTGTCTTTGACTCTTCTCAGTCTTCTGTCATTCAGGCTTAGTCTGTCATTCCACCTTCTTCCTCTGCCCTTCCTCATCTCACCTACCTCTGCCTCCCAACTGCCAGTTTTGAAATCCCCAAGTCTAAGTAACAACTATCAATGGCAGTAGTTAAGGTCAGCTAGCCTCAGGTATTGATAGTTGCTTTCTGAACTCCATAGCTTCCCTCCTGTCACTGTTTGTCACTGTGTCCTCTTTATGTTTCCAGTTCTACCTGCTTGTACCCATGATAAACATCAAGGAGGCCAGAAAAGACCATTGGGAGAAGGCTTTTCTTAGGCCTAATGTTGCCACACCATGGGGCAACATGTAAAGCTAGCTGAACAGTCTGTTTATACAGCCAGGAGAGGGATGTAGTAAGGGGATGGCATGCAAATGACTTTATTCGCACCAATCTTAGCACTGCTTCCAATTCCACTAGGTTTATTGAGTACCTGACGGGGTGCACCCACTCCCATCTTGAGTGAGAATAGCTGCGGGGTTCATGTAAAGTTCACCCAGGCTATCTCACCAGGGATGATGCCTTCCAAGGTTGGTGCAGTTGTCTGCAGTGGTCATGACTGGAGCAAGGCCTCCTATGGAGGAGTCAAGGCAGTTCGAAGTGTACAGATCAGCTGGGCTGCCATGAGGCCAGTCTGGCTGCCAGAGAAGGGATTGCTTGGGGTGACAGCTTCCCAGCTCTGAACCGCCAGGCATTGCTATTCAAAAGTCTAAATTATCCACTTTTGGGACTTTTACTCAGTCATAGAATGCGCAACACAAAACTAACATTGTCAAATGAACATTCAACAGTGTTCAACCCTGCCCCAGTACCAGGGAGTTTCGGGTCCCTCGATCTGTCTCAGCTATCGGTGGTGGTAATCTAATTGCCCCTGCAGCCCTGCAAGGAATTCTGCCTGGTACTTAAGGTAGTCAGCCAAAGTAGCAACACTTGCCATAGGAAAGGTAGCCAACAGGCTGTATTATGGTTAAGGAGAGCTGCGCGGCGGTATTTACGGTAGCTAGCGGGACCGGTGGTATTTACGGTAACGGGGGCCGGGCTGGCCAGGACCAGCTCCGCCAGCTCTGCCCGCTCGTGGCGCTATCAGGAGATCTCCGGCCCAAGACCTAGGGACAATGCACTATGGCCCTCCTGAGCAGTGAGGGGCCCTTTTCCCGGGCCCGCCGCAGTCACGCCCCGCAGCCGGCCACCCAGGGTCCGCCGGCATCGCCCCCTCGCCGAGCCCCGGCCTGAGCCGCTGGACTTGCCCACGCCCGGTGCGCCCTCATGGGTCTCTGCTACAGCCTGCGGCCGCTGCTCTTCGGGGGCTCGGGGGACGCCCCCTGCGCCGCCTCGGACCCGCGGGAGGACAATGCGCGGCCCCAAGCAGACTCGGCCCTGGCCCCCCCAGTGCGGTCAGCCGGCCTCCAGACCCCAGCGTGCGGGCGGCCCCCTGCAGACCCGCAGACCGGGCGGCGGCGGCCGGAGCAGCTGCGCGCAGAGGAGAGGGAGGCGGCCAGGGAGGCGAGGAAAGTGAGCCGAGGCATCGACCGCATGCTGCGCGAGCAGAAGCGAGACCTGCAGCTGACGCACCGGCTCCTGCTGCTGGGTAGGTCCGGGCGTGGGGGCCGGGGACCCCGACTCGGGGCAGAACCGCTGGGCGGGGACGCCGGGGAGGCAGATGGGATGGGCTCGGAAGGAATGTCAGATGTGTAGATTGAGGACAGAATGACTTTCATCCTGACAATAAAGTGACTCCGTCACTAGAACGCTCCTGGGTGATTTCACTCTCTTGCCTGCCTTGTGACTTGTGCCACTGGCTCACCGATTACTAATTAATGTTGCTCTCTGGGAAATTTCCGCCCTTGATCCATTGATTTCCACAATATGGGCTCCACCAGGATGTCTCACCCCAGCGCTCCATTTCCTGCCACAGTACAGGCAGAATGGTTTTAAGAATACCAATAAAAGGAGACTTAGAAGGCCTTTTAGCCTGACCACACAGCTTTTATTTCCAGTCACTGTCCTAGAGCACAGTTGTAGGTAGGCGTAAGGGTGCTGGCTTTTGAGAAACAGCATCAGTGTCTGTACAGTGTTGTCGAAGTTCAGCCCTCCTGCTGTGAAAGTGTTTGCTGTGCCTCAGAACCAGCAGGTGCTGGAGTGATGTGTCCTGACTTCCTCACCCTGTGCCCCCCACATCCCCCCCACACCAGCTGTAATAAAGTGGGCACAAACCTGCCAGCATTTTCTGGTTCACTGGTATTTTTTCAGAGTTTAGCTTTAGCAAGCATAAGTGTGCTCTCACTAATTAATAACCGGAAAACATTTTCTATGCACTCAACGGTGGAGTGATAGAGAAAAATAAAACATGAGTAATTGTGCGTCTGTGTGCATGACATAGTATGTACACACAGAGACCTAGACTGGGGCCACCAAGCACAGGGGTTACGGGCACATGTGGGCATGCCTGTCTTCATAGAGGCTGGGATTCAAACTCAGGTCTTCAGTGTGAGTATCAAGAACTCTTACCCCCTGAGCCTCAAGCACTGTTACCCACTGAGCCTTCTCTCCATTCCCGAAATCATGAATCCTTTTTCAAACTTTTCTTTTGTGTGTAGGTATGCAGGCCCAGGAGTGCTGTCGCATGCTCATGAAGGTCAGAGGACAACTTGGCAGAGTTATCTCCTGCCATCGTGTAGAGCCCAAGATTCAAACTAGGGTCAGCAGGCTTGGCAGCAAGCTTCCACCCTAAATCATGAATTCTTGAAGTTACTTGTTGCCTTTTAAATTTTCAGGGTGAAATAAAGATGTCGGAAATCAATCCAACTTTGTGAGATATATAAGGAAGATTGGTGCAGGTCTGTGCTTGGCCATTCATAGGGGGCTATACTGTGATATGTAAAAAGCTAGTTTATAAATGAGTGCAATCAAAAGAAAAAATATTGAGTTTAAATGGACTCAGCCAATTATTTATTAAAAATAATAATTGAAACAAAATTAGCTTTTGTATCGTGATGAGATATCCGAATTCTAAAACAAAAGGGCTGCAGAATCAGGACATTTTTAGTGCAGGGAATTAAACAGTGCACCCAAATAGGATACATTATTGCACCTTCGTCTAAACCCACTGAACACCCAGCACCAGAGGGCCCCCTGCTGCAGACTCAGTGAGAGTAATGTGTCAGGAGCTGTTACAAATATGGTGCCAGATGACCCCTCTGGGGCCTGGTGATGAGGGAGGCTGTGCATGCATGTGGAGGGCATGGACAGATGGGAGATCTACTTTCTGCTCAACTTTGCTGTGAACCAGAACATCTCTTAAAATTTTAAATCTGCCAAAAACAAAGTCCCTGCCTAGGAAAAGGGGCAGGTAAAAGGTTTTGTCCTTAGATTGGGACCCTGAGAGGAGGAGCTAGTGGGAAAGAAGAGAATACACAGTGACCAGAGCAGGGGAGGCATGGTTATTCTGAAAAGCCCATCTCTAGGCCAGATAGTGACTGAACAGTGTCAAGACTGTGCCCTGCTGTTGGAAGCTGTGGTTTATGAAAAAGAAAAGTACCAGGTGATTCTCTTCCTAATCCACAGGTTCCACAAGGTGGAAAATGCAGACTCAGCCCCATTTAAGACAAATGACAAAAAAAAAAAAACTTTATGGAAAAATAACAGTCTGAGCATATATATGTCATTAGGTAAAGGGCAACATTACAAGGATTCATATAGAATTTTCTTTAAACTATACCTTTTTCCAAGCAGGATGTGGTGACATATACCTGTAATACCAGCCACCCAAAAGGCTGAAATAAGAACATTACTAGTTCAAGGCCTGTCTCAACGTTTTTAAAGCTGAGATTTAGCTCTGTGATAGAGCATCTGGCTGACATGCACAAGGCCCCACTATGTTCAAGCCCCAGTACCACAAAAATAAAATGACATGCTATCTCCCTTTCCTGGAATATCTTATTGGTGCGGAGACACAGGAAAGGTAGAAACAACTGTTACAGTAAGTAATTTTGAGGCTGCTAAATCAATGTATAGTGCTGTTGTTGATCCTGTGTGCAAACTGCTTGTAGAAGCTGTTATGAGCCTGCTGTGCCTTCACACTGACAGGCTGGTTTCCTGTGTAGCAGGCAGCTGCTGGAAAGACTCAAAGTACCAATACCACCTGGACCCACTACTCATTTAATAGAATAATGGTCTGGGAAAACCAAAGACAGCATAAGCATGGTGTCAAGAAGGAATGAGACTGTATGTTTATGACCAGCCGTCAGAGTGTTTCACATGCCAATGTTAAGAACTCTTTTTTTTTGGTCTTTTTGAGACAGGGTCTCCCTGTAGCCCTAACTGGTCTGGATTCACTATGGAGACCAGGCTGGCCTCAGACTCACAGAGATCCACCTGCCTCTGCCTCCCGAGTTCTGGGATTAAAGGCGTGTGCCACCACGCCCAGCCTAATATTAAGAACTTTTATAAATTATGCCATGACGGGAGATTGGAGATTGTTCACAAAGAGTCATGAAGAAAAAGATGAAAAGTTTTTCTTTTTGTGTGGGGGCCTCTATATTAATTGCCATATAGTGCAAAAAGAAGTTTCTTTGAGGAGGGATGAGCACTAATCTCTGGGTATAAAGATAAGAACTTGGGGAGCAGTTTATTACTCTGTCCATTTAGCAGAATAATAGTACTGGGGCATTTTCTTCCCTAGGGCCTATGACCTAGCAGCCATGGGTTTTTGACCCACTTAATGGTATCAGGCATGAGTTCCATCTTGTAGAATGGCCTCTAAATCCAATCAGAAAGTGGTTGGTGGGGACTGGAGAGTTGGCTCAGTGGTTAAGAGCACTGGCTTCTCTTGCAGAGTGCCCAGTTCAAATCCCAGCATCCACATGGTAGCTAACAACCATCCTTAACTCCAGTTCTAGGGGATCCAATGTATTCTCTGTCCTCCATGGACAATGCATGGCACAGGTGCACTTACATACATGCAGGCATAACACTCATACATATAAAAAATAGAATGTGATTGGTTACGCTCATATTTGTTCCACATTGTACCAGTGGGCATATATGGCCAGGCCACTCATTATTGTAGTTCACAGGGTTCACAGCTGAGTAAGACTGTTGATTCATTTTCTTCCCCAGTAGTATTCAGAGAGCACTATGAAAGCTAGGCAATAAGGGATGAAACCTCTGGGTGGATACCAGCTGGACTTTTCCATGTCCTGTGATTCAAGTATGGTATCTTCAGCAATGAGGTCTTACCATCAAATTCTTGAGGGTAACTAAGAGTAATAGCAACAGCCTATAGAGTTTGGGAAGGATCTATGGGACCCCACTGACTAGTAAAAAGCAGTAACCCATATCTGGCATTAGGCTTTTTATCTGAGAGCCAGTGCTGTATGGGAGAGGCCTTGCCCCCATTATAGGGTAACAAATTAAACTTTTATGTACATTTATGTATATATTTTAGGAAGCTTCTACAGTAGTAGGTTTCCATATGACATTCTCAAAGGTCTTTAGTGTTATCCCTCCCCATCCCCCCTCCTCTACCCTGCCCTCCCATCCCCCACCCCATTTAACTCTTCCTGTTCCATTATTCCTTTTTCCATTTTCATACCACCTTCATTCCATCCCACTTCCCTTGAAATCCCCCGTCATGGCCCCTTACTAGTTTTCTGATTTCTATGAGTACACCAATTTAAATGCACATATAAAAAGTTCAAAGCTAGCATTCACAAATAAGGTTACCTCACTCAGAATGGTTATTTCCAACTCCATCCATCTACCTGAAAATTTCATAATTGTATCTCTCTTTATAGCTGAATAATATTTCATTGTGTAAATGTATCACATGTTCATTATCCATCAGTTGATGGATCTCTAGGCTTTTCCATCTCCTGGCTATTATGAATGAAGCAGCAGTGAACATAGATGAGCAGGTATCTCTGCAGTAGGATGTAGAAGCCTTTGGGAATATTCCTAATAGTGGTATACTGGGCCATATCGTAGATCTGCTTGCTTTTTGAGGAACTTCCACAGTGATTTCTATAGTGACTGCAACAGTTTGCACTCCCAAGAACAGTAAATAAGTGTTCCCTTTTCCCCATATTTCTGCCAACATTTGTTATCATTTGTTTGTTTTGAGATCTTAGTCAATCTTACTGGGGTAAGATGAAATCTCAAACTCCTTTTAATTTGCATTTCCATGATAGCTAAGGATGTTGAACATTTTTAAAATATTTTTTAGCTATTTGTATTTCTTCTTTTGAGAGCTCTAGTTCCATGCCCTAATTTTAATTAGGCTCTTTGTTATTTAGTTTTTTGAGCTCTTTATATATTCTAGATACTAACCCTCTGTCAGATGTATAACTGGTAAAGATTTTGTCCCATTCTGTAGGTTGTCTCTTCACTCAAATGATGGTGTCCTTTGCTTTTTAGTTTCATGAAATCCTATTTGTCAATTGTTGGTCTTAATGCCTGTGTTACCAGGGTCCTGTTCAGAAAGCCTTTTCCTGTGCCTACAACTTGAAGTATGTGCCCTACTTTAGCAAATTGAAGTCTTATCCATTTGGAATTGAATTTTGTGTAGCAAGAGTGAGAGATAATGATCTA